GTGGACCACGGCTCCACCAACAGCCAATTCAATACAGAGATATAAGAAAATCTTCCAGAGCAAACCTTCTACAAAACAGATGTTCCTTCATTGAAGTGCCAAATCAAATAGGTGGCATTTCTGCCCCTAAGAGCCTTTTATCAAACCTGTTTTTAAAAATTATTTTTGATAAAGGTTCTTGGGGTCCGAAACATCACCCATTTTATTCCACTGGGCGCTGCTCCCTGCCTCCACTACTGCTCAGTGTAGACCGTAGAGGTCCTGATAATACCTAATCATAAAAACTGACAACAAAAAAACAACAACAAACCAAGGCAAAAAGCTATGCAATGTAAAATATAACCCCAATCATTCAGCCTATTGGTTGAAATGCTGAAGAATTAGATTTTTTTCAAGCTGGCAGAGGCTGTAATATAAGACTCCATGCTTTATTTTTAACATTCTCTCTCGTTACATGCTGGGGTCCATTAGACCTCAGGTATGTTTTTTATTTTTTTTACATAATTGGTGATGTTAGAGAAGAAAGTAGAGGTTTGCAATTGTAATTTCCCACATATTCTATATTTTATCTCAGAGTCAAGAAAACTGTATATTCATGGGAAAAAATATACTTTGAAAGTGTTGTGTTATGTACAGAGACATGATAGTAAGTAACAGATTTGTTCTGACTTTTGAGTGGAACTCTTTTTTTCAGCAACTAGTAAATAGTTTTGTAAGTTGAGAGCAAACCTATCTGAGATATTTTGCAACTTAGCTATCCTACCATACATTGTGTAAGCTGGTTGTCATCTTACGACACCTCGTTATTTCTCGGGGGGGAAAAAAACAACAGGAAGTGGTTTGCCTAAAGAAAATGGCTAACACTAACTAAATAGAAAATGTAATCTCAGCAGTTCTGTCCACATATGAAATCCTTTACACACACAAACATGTAACTTTACAGTTCAGGTATTTTAGAACAAACTCGAGGTCTCAAACAGGAAGAAACATATCAACCTACTATGTTTCTCACCCCATAAGGTCTTCATTTCCAGGTCACCTGAGGTCAGGTCAGAAATGGGATAGAAATATGTTCCTGTCACAAAAACAGCTGGAGTTAGATAATTTATGACATTCTGGCTATTTTATTACCAAAGGGACTTGCAAGTTAAATTACCAGAAACTTCGATACTTTGGAATGTGTAAGTGGCCCTTTTGGCAAATAAAGAGTTAAAGACATACATCTGTGAATCAATAATAATATTCCTTAATGTTCTAGGCCATGGATAGACAACCTCTGACATTCCAGACGTTATGGATTACACAGTACATAATGCGATTACAGCCATAATGCTGGCAGAGCCTCTTGGGAGACGTAGTCCAAAATATCTGGAGTGCCAAAGGTTGCCTAACCCGTTGTATGATATTTCTGCAGAGCAATATGAGAAAAACTATAATTGAAACTATTTGTCACCAAATTTTCATTTTACTCTCTTTCTCTCTGATATTAATGTAAGCCAGCCATCTTGATTGCACATTCCAAATTTCCTAGATTCCCTGGGAGATTCCTGTTTTTCTTTTTACCCCCATCGATCACATTATTTTTTTGTCCTGACCTTGATTTCCAGTTTACAAAATGTAATAAGGAGTGTAGTTTTAGGAAGAAATTATTTTGAAAAGGTTGGGAAATGTAACGCCTCCATTGGGTCGCTCTTAGCTTTGGCGTGTACCCATGCATGGGGACTCTGAGCCTGCTCCAGTTGCGCTCGCATCCGGCATGTATGATGTCGGCCACTGAGTGCTAGAGGCATTTAAAGTGATATCGCTAACCAGAATTAACCGATCACAGCCATCTTAGAGTATTTAAACTTCTTTCACTTATTCTTCAGTTCTCTATTATGGTTTCCACTTGCTGGTTATCAGATAGCGCGTTCATCTTGTTTTACTGTTGTTGTTTTGACTTTGGCTTGCTCTTGACTATCCCTCACTCTGGTATCCTTGACCTTTTGGCTTGTCTTATTGTTTTTGTCTCTTTCTTTGTCCCTGACCTTAGCTTTTTTCTGACAATTCTCTTTTACGTTTAGTCCGGCCATTCTAAAGTCCAGTAATACGTCTATTTAGTTTTTGCATTTACTTCTTTATTTTACTTAAAGGACCACTATAGTGCCAGGAAAACATACTCGTTTTCCTGGCACTATAGTGCCATGAGGGTGCCCCCACCCTCAGGGTCCCCCTCCTGCCCGGCTCTGGAAGGGGGAAAGGGGTTTAAACTTACCTTTTTCCAGTGCTGGGCGGGGAGCTCTCTGCCTCCTCTCCTCCTCCGATCCGCCCCGTCGGCTGAATGCGCACGCGCGGCAAGAGCTGCGCGCGCATTCAGCCGGTCGCATAGGAAAGCATTCATAATGCTTTCCTATGGACGCTTGCGTGCTCTCACTGTGATTTTCACAGTGAGAATCACGCAAGCGCCTCTAGCGGCTGTCAATGAGACAGCCACTAGAGGATTTGGAGGAAGGCTCAACCCATTGATAAACATAGCAGTTTCTCTGATACTGCTATGTTTATAAAAAAAAATGGGTTAACCCTAGAAGGACCTGGCACCCAGACCACTTCATTAAGCTGAAGTGGTCTGGGTGCCTAGAGTGGTCCTTTAATTCTATGTGTTGGGTCATACATTATCCTGACAGGAAAGGAGAATGCCTCTAAATTGAATTGAAACAAATGCATACGTCTGGGCACACCCAATAGTTTCTTTTTAACAGCAGTCTTTTATTTCAAGGAAAAGATAACGTTTCGGCACTATCCTGTGCGTTTGTCAAGTCAGGGCACAGGGTAGTGCCAAAATGTTGTCTTTTCCTCTTAACTTCTTTATAAAAGACTTCCTATTAATTAGAAACCAGACGTATGTATTTGTTCCCGTTGGATTAAATAGGAGTTGGCTCTCCTGGTTTGGAGCACCCCAGTGGGAGTATTCCCCTAGTGAGTGTATGCATTGCCTCTCTCTGCATGTAAATTTACGTGAGGTTTTGAATGGTGATCTGCTATTGTATGTAAATGGAGTTTGGGGGGAGAAGCTTAAAATGCTGCACATACAGAGATATTTGTACTTTTGTGACAGGGTCTAGTGGCACTCCTGGCATGTGTAATTCAGCGGTCTGTAACTCTGTTCTGAGCTCCCTAATGTCAATTCTGTGCAAAAATTGTGTCTTTTGTCGGTACGCTCTGAGCTCAATAGGGAGTTATAAACCCCCAAAAATCATTTTTAAAAAGTGTTGCAAAACTAGCCACTTCATTGTGTAAAGACTATGTTGATTCGTCTAGTTTGACTTCACGAACAGAACATGGACATATTGTTCATGAAGTCAGACTAAATACCGGTTAACCCAAAATTTCTTCTGGCCAGGTATTTCAAAAGACATTAGGCAATACTGTCAAACGTGCGACACCTGCCAGAGGGTAGGTAAGAGAGGGGACCGATATAAAGCAAAACTCCATCCACTCCCAATCATTGAAGAACTTTTCAGCAGAGTGGCTGTAGACCTGATAGGACCCCTAACTAAACCCAGCCCCTCCGGCAAGAAGTACACTTGACTGTAGTAGATTATGACACTAGATATCCAGAGGCGGTGGCGCTGACCAACGCTCACGCGGAGACGATAGCAGATGCTTTGATGCAAATTTTCTCCCTCATGGGATTTCCCCAAGAGATTATTTCAGATCGAGGCACCCAATTTACAGCAAAGGTCACCCAGCAACGACAGCGCAGGTGGTACGATAGGGGGGCCAGGGACCGCAGCGTTCAGATAGGACAAAAGGTGTTAATCCTAAAACCGGTCCACAATGATAAGCTGCAGGCATCCTGGCAAGGCCCATACAAGGTGGTTGAACAAATATGTGATACCACCTATGTGATCAGCCCATGCACCGGGGCAGGAGGTAGACGCATACTCCACGTGAATATGCTTAAACCGTACTACGAGCGCATAGAGAATGTGACAGCAATGTGTGCCCCGGCCTCTGAAGACTTCGACAACCTACCTCTACCAGACCTCCTAGAGAATGGAGACCAGACTGAGGGCCTGGGAGCGGTACAGTTAGGGGAATGACTGAGTCCACAGGAGCGGGCTCAGGCACAAGACTTGATAAGGGCCAAGAGGTCCACTTTTTCCAATTTACCCGGGTACACCCCTCAAGCTACTTACCGAGTAGAAACCCCAGGGCAGGCCCCACTACGTCAACCCCTCTACCGCATACCAGAATCTATGAAAGAGAATATGCACAAAGAAATTGAAGAGATGCTACAGTTAGGGGTTATTGAACATTCAGACAGTCCCTGGGCCTCTCCGGTAGTGTTAGTACCAAAGCGGGATGGAACAACCCGCTTCTGTGTAGACTACCGGAGAATAAATGACAAAACAGTGTCATATATGCCTACCCTATGCCAAGAATAGATGAACTCTTAGATAAAATGGCAAAGGGCCAGTACCTCACTACAATCGATCTTTGTAAGGGGGTTTGTCACCCCGTTTGGCTTATACCAGTTTACGGTCATGCCATTTTGGATGAAAAACCACCCGGCTACCTTTCAGAGGATGGTGGTTCAGCTGTTGGATGAGTTCCAGGAGTACGCTTGCGCCAACCTGGACGATATAGCCACTCCTGGACCGATCCTTTGACCAACATAGGAGCAGTCTTAGACCGTATCAGGGAAGCAGGGCTAACCCTTAAACCTAGTAAATTTCATATAGGAATGGCTGAGGCACAGTACCTGGGCCACCGAGTAGGGAGCGGCCAACAAAAGCCAGAACCAGCCAAGATAGAGGCCATAGCAAAGTGGCCAACCCCACGCACTAAGACTCAGGTCCTAGCTTTCCTGGGAACAGTAGGGTATTATCGCAAATTCGTACCAGATTACAGCACCCTGGCAAAACCCCTTACAGATTTAACCCGTAAAAACCTCCCTAAGCAAGGAGTTTGGGCTCCAGAGTGTGAAAAGGCATTCCAACAATTAAAAACGGCTCTAATTCCCCATTATGCCAGGAGGCTGCTGAGCACCATACTAAACCCCAGGCAGAGCAAACAAGTCCTGGTGGACGGGATATTCCGCATACCTAAAGCTACGAGGGCACCAGCGGACTCCCCAAGGGACGTTATCGTCCAGTTCCAGACAAGATCAGCGCAACTACAAGTAATGGCGGCAGTGAGGGGACAGCCCGCTTATTCCTTCGAAAACACTCACCTAGTATTCTTTCAGGATCTATCCAGACCTACACTGTTATGGAGAAGCCAGTTTAAACCTCTGACCTCGACACTACGCACCCATTCAATCCCATACCGTTGGGGCACCCCCAGGAGCCTGTTCATATCGCAAGGAGAGAAAAGCTTACGACTTACCACAGCCGCAGAATCAGACGCAGCGCTCCAGGCCTTGGGCCTAAAGAGCCTTCTGGAACAGAGGGCGCAGGTACAGGGGCGGAAAGCACCACATAATTGGGACATAGATAGGCTCATACCATTCCAACCATCTGGAACCCACAAGACAGGCCAGGCCCCCTCCGGGGCAAATTCAACCTCCAGTAACCCAGGGAGGAAGGAACAGCACAGACCAAGTACCTGAGGAACTGAACTCGTTCAACCTTATTTAAAAGCCTGCCCTGCCCCTCCCTCCCCTCCCTAGCCGGGAACAAAGTGTTAAGTTTGAGGTTCCACAGTTCAGTGCTCGGCAACAAGGTGCCTTCACCTACAAATGGGAACAAACACACCTGCTCATATACGAGTGCTTACCGTGGCGAAAGCCAAAGCAAAATGTGAATCCTTGAGTCGCTGGTACCGATCCCACGGCGCTTGCAGTGGTAGCCTAGTGACTGTTTCCGATGGTCTTCAAGGACACTCAACAATATGAAAACTTGAAGGACTTGTCCCTTAATAGTACCTTACACCTTCTAAACTGCAAAAGGACACATTGTACTGTAGATATTTGATCGCCTCATTTTACATATATGTCCCAACCTGGAAGTGTACCTGTATCAGTTGAATTTAATTTACCTAGTTTGAATTTAGTTGAACTTAACTTACTTATGCATGACAACACATACAATACCACATGTAAACCAAGGGTACTTACGCGGCACTCGGACCTTATTGGTCGTACGGTGAGGTATTGCCATGGCAGAGGAAAACAAGTAATGTAAAGTAAGACATGTAAGATAGAAGGCCTGCTCTGAGCCACGTGGAGGGGCAGTTGACATTTTCCCCGCTTATTGAAACACATCACAACCAACACAGTCCACACATAGTGGGGCGGTAGCCTGTGAATTGTCCTCACACTTCGAACCTACGATTTTCACAAGGGTAATACAAATAACAGCAAACCACCCCATGTTACCCCCGCATCCTAATCCAAGTCCTTAGAGAGGGAACGGGTCGTAAGTTCCCCCCCCCCCTTACTCTGGTCTACTCCCCAATAAGCACACCCAATTTCCAATAAAGGCAGAGCAGAGGGTCCATCATTATCACAGCGCTGCCCGATCTATAAACCCCCCCCCCCAAGCGCAGGGTTACAGAACACCCCACCCAGCCTACAAAAACAGCAACCGGGTTGGCTGCACCCCAAACATACAGAACAGCGTACCTTAGCCTGTTTATTTTATGGTGACTCTTGCAAAACCTGTATGTATATGTTACTTACAACTCATATCACCTTTTTCCTTAACAAAACTTGTGCATTGTATGCAAACTTACCAGAATGATGTTATTGTTATTCTTTCTCATGCACCCAAAAATAAAGAATATAAAAAAAAAAAAAAACGGCTCTAATTAATGCACCTGTACTTGCTGCTCCTGATCCAACTAAACGATTTTGGATTGGGAGCAGTACTGAGCCAAGTCGGAGCAGATGGCGGCGAGCATCCAGTGGCTTACTTAGGCAGAAAACTACTACAAAGAGAAGTAAGCTACACCCCCATTAAAAAAAAATGCCTGGCCGTGGTGTTGGCCCTTAAAAAGCTACAGCCCTATTTGTATGGGCAACCCTTTTCCTTACTCACAGATTACAACCCATTGGTGTGGCTTAACAGGGTAGCCAGAGACAATGCCAGGCTGCTTCGCTGGAGTTTCGCTCTGCAGCCTTTTGACTTTACCATCCACTACCACCCTGGAAAACTAAATGGCAATGCTGACGGGTTATCCAGACAAAGTGATCTGTAAGTACTCCTCTGGACATCCCCAAGCCGATCCGTTGGGATCAGACTGTGTATGCTGGCTTGTAGTTCTGGGGGAGCATTGTGGCAAAACTAGCCACTTCATTGTGTAAAGACTATGTTAATTAGTCTAGTTTGACTTCACGAACAGAACATGGACGTATTGTTTGTGAAGTCGAACAAACTACCGAATGGAAGACCACCCAGTGGAGTCGTGTGTCTCCAATTACAAAACTGCAACATGGAAAACTGCAAGATTCTAATGGTCGAATGGGCTGTCGCCGCTCGTATGAACGAACATGTGGTGGAGGCACGAACGCCCAGCGGTGTTTGGTCTTCGAGTGCATGGAACTAAAATCGCCCACTTGACTTCAATCCCGTTCGTATAAGTACTTCCGTTCATCTAAACAGAGCGGCGTTCGCCTAAAGGAAACTACCGACCCCCAGATGCACAACTAACCCAGATGCACAACTAACTAGTTTATAAATATGTACGTTCATCTGTTCATTCGTAGGAACTCCCGAAAGAAGACCGATCAAAGCCTGCAATTGCCTGGAACGGTTTTGGGACTTCATCTCGTGGCTGACCGGTCCAAAACTTCACTCGAATGGCTCTTCTATTCTACCAAATGGCAGGTTTGGCGCTCAGATCCCAGCTATTCAGTGAAGTGTCTTTCGTGGAGTTCTGATAAAGATTATACGAATTATTATTTTTTTTAAATATTGTGTAATGTTCTGCACTGAGAGATAATTGAATTAAAAGCTTGTTCTTGCGTAATTATCTCTCTAGTACAGAAAAGGATCCTAGGAAATGTTACTGTACTTCCAGTTTTCCACAAGGTCCACCAGGGAAAAACCCCTGGAATGTCATTATGGAAACCCCTTGCATGGGGATTTGTATAAAACCGGCTGTGGTTCAATAAAAGCTCAGTTCACTCCCAAAACTGTGTTTCATCCAGTTGTTGGGGAATGGGATGGGAATTGCTACACTGCTCTTATTTTGTATGCTGACTATGTCTACCAGCGGCGATATCGCGGTTTATACCTCTACTCCGCTACAAAAAGGGTTGGAGTAACCCTTTAATTTTTGTTTGTCATTTACTTGTTTTCAAATATCCCATTCTATAATTGTAAATTGCTGAGGAATACGTTAATGCTACATGGATGCCAATAATAATAAAAATAGAGGATTTCTCCAAAAAGCCAGTGGACAATTGTATACCCACTCACCCCTTCCACCCTAATAAGAATAAAGCTTCCCCCCACATACAGCCTGTAGCGTCAGGTAACGTGTTTCAGTGCGGAAAAAACACTGTTTGCTATCAGCTTCTCCCAAATGCGTCTGCGGAGGTTGCAAGCACCACAGGATTTAGGCAGTCGGGCAAGGAAAAAGTATTACAGTAAAAGCCGTTTAAAAAATGGGGGAAGAAACAGGAATAATTTAATTTTATATATATATATATATATATATATATACATACATATATATATATTTTATTCTTTATTTTTGTTTGTGCATAGAAATTCAAGCTGACTTGCAGAGCCACAACAGCTATAGCAAGCGTTCCAAACAGGTACAGTAGTACAGTTACACCTGGGCTGGGATTATGACTGGGTTTGCTGTTGGTAGTTTTGGAACTAGATAAGTGGTAGAGTGTTGCACACTGGTATCAGTAGCATTGGAGCTCTGTGGTAGAGGTCCAATAACCTCCAAATGAAAACAGTACCATAACTACCACAAGTGAAGAGCCACAGGATGCACAGCGTAGGCTGAACAAGACAGTTTTATTGTGGAATAGAGGACAAAAGAAGGATACAACGTTTCGGCTTTGATTAAGGCCTCACGGCCGACACGTATCCTTGTTTTGTCCTGCATTCCACAATAAAACTGCCTTGTTCACCATACGCTGTGCAGCCTGTGGCTCTTCACTTTTGGAAGTTATGGAATTGTCTGTGTATGTTTGACACCACTTGTGATTTACCACGTCTCTTATGTTTAAGTCACCTTGTGACCATTATAGGTGATGGGTGTGTATAATTGTTTATTGTTAAATGTTTTTTGTGCTCTCCTGTCCTACTGACGTTTTCTACCAGCTAGGTGGATTTGGCTGTGGAACCTTTACAGTGCCAGCTATTGGTTGTGAATATATTGCAACATTATGTTATGTGCTGCACCGCAACTGTATCTGCACTTTCTGAATAGCAAAACTCTGTAATTTGCATACTCAGGTAGATTTGCATATTATAGTTTTTGCAGGCAGGAAATATATCGTGTGTTAGTTATCATCTTCCCCACCCCTTTAAAAATATGTTATTATAGCATTATTATGGTATTATAATTTCCTGTATGGTTTCTGATATGATTTGGTTATTTCTATTGTATTTAATTGTCAGAGCAAGTTTGTTATGTACATGTGGCCTAGTCCTGAGTTGAAAATAAAGCTGTGTGTGTGTTAGTTCCCTTTGGAACTGTGTGGATTTGCTCAGGGACCCCAGTAACAGAGTCTTCAGATCTATTAGCTGGCTGTTTGGTCCCTGTAGCCTGGGACAAGTCAAAAAAACATCTAGGACTGAAAGCCACACGTGCCTTTGTAAAGGCAGGAGCTAATTGCATTATAGGTAGAGGTGTTTATATCTACACGGGAAAAAAATTGAAAAGGAAAAAGGAGAGGGAATGATATCTGCCTAGAAGGAGAGAGCTACAACCAGGTTGGGTGGAAAAGTTCTGTAGAGACCCCAGTCAAGCTTCGGCAACTGGGGTTGAAGCATTCCAGGGTCCTTGAAAGTGGCTAGGAAGCTGACTGGGCAGAGGTAATCGGTCAAAGCGCGGGAGCTCCTTCACAATTTCCAAGGTGTTCCAACGCTCAGAAGTCATGGCACTATTGCTAATGGTGGATTGGGGTACACCACACTCCCCAAAACAAGGATTTTTCAGTTACCAAAAAAAATACTTTTCATAACTGTGAATTGGTAATCTAGTCTCACACTAGGATCAATGACAAAATCGCAAACTCCTATTTCCCAAAGTCATTTTTTTTTTTTTAATTCTTTATTTTTGCATGACAAGAACAGTGACATAGAAAATGCATTTTGGCTTGCGCAGAAGCCCCTATACAACGGTGTAGGCTAAGCTCTTTTCCCCCCGTGGTTGTACCCAGAGGTGGGGTTGCTCCGAAGCGATATGTCACCGCCCGTCACGTTTTTTCATATATATGTAAGCCTAGTTTTTATATCCACTGTTATGTGTGCCCTCTCGTCCATCCTTCGCACCGCCATTGTAGTGTCAAACCCTCAAGTGCAAGGTTATCGGGCTGCTGCTGTCTGCTGCCTGTCTACCTTCCCGACCGCTAGGTTCCGCCCCCTCCCGCTGCACACCCCATCACTCCTCCGTCTGGTGCATCTTAAGTATACTGCTGGCACTCTCTACTAGGCTAAATCCCCCGAGAGGGGATTAAAGAAAAAAGAAGAAAGAGAAACCTTAGGCGGCTGGTGGACGCATTATTTAGCAGTGGCTAAATTCTAGTAATTAGCAGCTTGTCAGTGACATAATTAGATACTTACTGTGGAAAGGTCTTTTTGCAATTAAGTAAAATCTCATTAAATTAATACTTGTGGATCCCCGGAAACATTTTCACTTTCAGATCTTAAGCTGACCTGGTACTTAAATCTAAGATCTAGACTATTTAGACCCAAACAATTAAATGAGTGCGATATTATTACTTCTGTTTATATTTTAAATGCAGCGAAAACATGGTAACCTCAGTCGAACAAAGATCTCCTAATAAACATTTGGCAATAAATGCATTACCCTAAATCACCTCACTTCACACAATATCCAGGGAAAAATATTTTATCTGAGCAAAAAGAAAATAAGAATTTTTTTTATAATTTGCATGACAGCTGCCAAATTTCATCTCGCCCACAGCGGCCAAAAATAGACAAAGCAACATTAGAAGAAGCCAACTTTAAATCGTTAATATCGTAGTAGTTGGACCATATTTAGCTCTACTGTCTTTCTTCTTGGGAATTCCTTATGAGATTGTTATATTTTTCCAGTTTAACCCCTTAGTGACCAGATCGCTTTTAAATTTTCATACCGTTAAGAACCACGGCTGTTTTTACATTTCTGCGGTGTTTGTGTTTAGCTGTAATTTTCCTCTTACTCATTTACTGTACCCACACATATTATATACCGTTTTTCTCACCATTAAATGGTCTTTCTAATGATACTAATATTTTAATCATATCATATAATTTACTATAAAAAACTATAAAATATGATGAAAAGATTTTAAAAAACACACTTTTAGGAAATTTGACCCCCAAATTCTGTTACGCATCTACAACCACCAAAAAAACACATGTGCTAAATAGTTTCTAAATTTTGTCCTGAGTTTAGAAATACCCAATGTTAACATGTTCTTAGCTTTTTTTGGAATGTTATAGGGCTAT